GGAGAATGGGTTTCCGTGCGAGATCCACCTCAGGTGAGCTGCAAACCGCCGAAGGCACTGTGCTTTGTGGGCACCCAGTGTCTCCTAGGACATGGAGCCACGAGGCACCTGCACGGCAGCCCTGGCCACCCCCCTCCCACCGCCTACCTCTGAAAGGGCTACGGGTGGGTAACTGCAACAGCCCACGCTCTCCTCCCTGCGTCGGAGTGCTTCTTTTCTTTAGCCACTCTGGGAACGTAAGAGTTGCTAACTGAAGCTGGCTGGGGTTTAAAGGCGTTGTGCTCTGAGGGTGTGTGCACAGCGTGGAGTATTTTGCTTTGTAGCTCCTTCAGCTCCTATCCGGAGAAAAGTGCAATGCCCCAAAGCCATAATTATGGGACTTTGTAGTGCTTCGAGAGAGAAAATCGGTGTAGTGGGATCTGAGTGTTGCAGAACGGGGAAGCGGGGACAGTCCGACTGCAACATGGGACAGCAGCCGGGCAGCCTCACTAACGGGGAGCCTTGCTGTAAACCTGCCGGCTGCATTTATTCCAAAAGAGTCGAACAGTTAAAGAATTTGCATCACAGCGGGGCAGTGCACACTGGACAAGAATGAAAACATGTCATCATACAATTCGCTTAATGGAAATGTGAGGTCAAAAAGTAACGGTCTCTAACACGGAGAGGAGGCACAGAGAGTGTGCTGTGGACATACATAGAATTATTGTTAGCCAACTGTATAGACCTGAGATTTGAGCCACAAACAGTATGCTTTTGGACATTTGGATGCAGAGTCTCTTAAAAAAAAACCTGGTAAAACGTTTTATTAAAAAATTATTCTGACTGCTGTAGAATAAGGTTTCTAGTAGTACTAGGGTCAACTCAAAGTTTTAAATAAGTGAACCTGGTAGTAGCTGGACCTCATATAGCGACATTAGCATCGCTCTAAGCTGCTGTCCGAGATTTCTATTCAGAGATAGTTCTTTTTCTTTTTTCTGCTGATCCTTTGTTACTACATCACAGGCACATACATCAGCTAAACCTCGGAGCTGCATAGAGACCATGAGGAGGCGGCGCTCTGCCACTCAGTAACTCCAGGTCCAGGTATTCCTGCTCTAGTGAGTATTTCTTGAAGTAGCTTATGTACCAATTTACATTCACTCTGAACTGCCTTACTGTCTTCATAAGCACTCTCGCCGTGACCGTGACTTAATGATCACGAGTGCGATGGTCAAGTCAGCAACACCAGGTCGCTTGAGGGATGATGTGTGGCAGGTGCTGCGTGAAAGACAAACCCAGTCTTCAAATGTTGGGGAGTAAATGCTGAGATGGCTGATACCAGTTTAAAACGATTATTTTCATCTGTAAAGATGCTCTTCGAAGGACTTTGGGCATGAAAATCAAACGGTAAATAAGCAAATTTCAGATTCCTCCAACCCCCCCAATTATCCTCACTGGCAGACAGCGTGTCTCCTCTGTTGTCAGATGCCACTTCCTTCTGTTTGCTGATTACTACAGGTCAGGGTTTCCAGGCACTGGCTCCAAGGGAGAGGCTGTCACTCGGTAAGCATCTCCTGCAAATCCTGTCTGGGATAATGTGGTTCCTTTTCTCTTTTCAACTCTTCCTGGGAGAGAGGGGACTTAGAGTCACCCCGCCTCCCAGCCCCCGCCCACCCGCAGGGGCATCGTGCATGGCCTGGCCTGGCCTGTGCGTGTCCTGGTGCCACTTCCCGTTCCGCACGGACCACCGCCACCCATCACTCGGTTTGGTCCTACGCACACTCATTATAGTGCTGTCTGCTGCTATAATGCTCCTATTCATTTTCCTTCTGATATTTTAAGAGCAATCTATAAATCATGCCGCCTTTCGTTCATGTCATCATTAACACTTGGTAATAACGCTCTGGTGGCGTGTTCGTGACTCCGCTTATCACAGCAGCGAGTAAATCCGCATCCTTTCCCTCCCTGCTCAGGTGCAGCATGCCCACAAGGTGGACCCGCGGTGACCCTGGTCCCCGAGACACAGACCACTTTTAGGAGGAAAGCTGGTGTGGCCAGAGATGACGAGGAAGGAGAAAGGAGGCAGCCCACGTGTCACCCATTTCATGGCTGTGTGCGCGCGGAGGGCTGCATGAAAGGCCTGCGGCTTCTATGGGAAAGTCAGTAAATGGTCCTTTTATGTGCGAAGCCAGCTAAAAACTTCCAGAAGCACCCACCTCCACCTGGGCTCTGGGAAAGCAGCAATTATGAGATGGGGTGAGAAGCAGCCGTGGCAGGGCTGGCGTGGCCACGAGGTGGGGACCGGGGGGACCCAGTACTCACGCGGCTTGCAGCGGCGATCGGCCCGGGCTGCTGTCGCTCTCGTTGCTGTTGGTGTGCTCCATCGCCCCGTTCAGCTCTTCCCGCATCGCGCTGGCCAGCGTGCCCAGACTGGGGTTCCCCATGGAGGCCGTAGTGTAGAGAGGTATACTGTTCTCAGCCATCGAAGCCTGCCACCAACCGAGAGGACAGTGATGAAGACGCGGGGGGCACAGACGCAGGGCAGCTACTCGTTCTGGCTGCAGCCAGTCACCGCCGGTCTAAGTTCATTCTAGCAGGCTGGGCAAATGTAAGGGTCTAAGAGGTGGAGGGACACAGGCACCCGTGGGGAGGGAGGCGGGACTGAATTAGAGTCGAGTCGAGTCACATGGTATAGACAAGGCTATCTTGTAATGAGGTTTCTGTCTGCTGCCTCTTTTCAGGAGGAACTGAGTATTTCCAGATCACGGGGACATATAATGGAATTTTCATTCCTTTATCCACTTGGATGACTCCAGTATTGGATATTCAAGATTTGATCAGATTATTCTGGCTGTGGAGCTCACACGTATGAGGACTTCCATAACATTTATGTCTTAGAGTCTTCATAGGTAAGGAAGACGCAATAGAAGTGGGATCAGGTTTCGGCTCCCCCCACTGCTGCTGCGCTGGTGAGTTAGAATCTTTGTAGCCTCTAATCTTCCAGGCTTCTGACCAACTGACTGAAGGGGAAAAAGGAAGCTGTAAATCATATTTTGGGCTCAGGTGACAGAGCGGCTCCAAGGGAGTGTCAGCATGGGAATGGCAGCAAAAGAAATGGTGACGTCTATACGGTTGGATCTCTCCTCTCTTCAGTCGAACCTACAACCTCCTGCACGCTAGCCCTACACTCTGCCCCTGAGCTGCAGCCTCTCTCTAGCTCCCTTACTTT